GAATGACACAGAGATTGTAAAAGATCCAAGGCAATTTAACATGCTTTTCTGGCTATTTCCATTTTATTTATCTACGTGTTTGTATAGTTACTACATTTTGCATTTATGCTTAAATAATTGCTTTGGTATACAAAGCTCTTCATTGTGGGTTAACTTGATTTTCAACCTTATGTTCTGTGTTATCCCCTTATGTTCCATCTGAAATTGTTGGCAAGGTTCTAATATCCTTCAGTATCCTTCAGAAAAACTTCCTTTGTGCCATTGCATGAGATGTGAAGTTTAATAAAGCAGTTCTCTGTCATAGACTCAGTTTCTTATTCTGTAACAGCCCTTTGCTAATGTAGTTCAGTGCTTGTGATGTTGAGAAGAGCAGTACTTTAAACTGCCATTGCTAACAGTATACAGCACTGTTCAAAGTATTACACAAATAATGAAATACTCTAATTTTTAATTTCTTTCTCACAATCCGGTGAATACAATGTAGGCATGGTTGGAAAGTTGTTGTGACGGAATTCATTACTGTCTAAGCTGCTGCAAGGAGCTGTAACATTTTGTCTTCACAAAGGGATAATCAATTGCATCTTTCTAATGATAACATTTGCAAGTCAAGTGATAGTTTGAAAGAACCTCGAACAAGCATAAGAGTTTAAGCATGAGAAGAAAATTATGGAGTTAGTCTCTATCAAACAAGTTGTGCTCAGTAAACAATTACTATTGCAATTGCATTTCCATTCCTTCTAGCATGTGACCTGTCCATATTTTTACCTTCCCTCAACCATGCTTTTTCTGTTTTGATGTGTTAATTAGCTACGTAACACCACAGAAAATCAGCCATGGCATACTCAAGAACAAGTTGCCACCTAATAACTATTAGATTTAGGGGAGAGCTGGAAAAGTGAGGAGTTCCAATTCTTGCTTTCTTAAAGATCAGGGAAAGGAGAAAGACCACCTGCCATGCTAAGCAGCAAACAATGTGTCCTGCTACAGAGCAGGAACTGCAACAGTGGAGACCTGGCTTTCTAAGAGCATGTTTTGAACAGCGAAATCATAAAATCATAAAATTATATAATGTCTGGGCTGGAAGGCACCTCCAAAGGTCATCTAGTCAAATGCCCTCCACCATAAGCAGGGACATCTCCAGCTAGATCAAGCTACTCTGAGCCTCATCCAGCCTGATCTTGAATGTCTCCAGGGATGCGGCCTCTACCACCTGTCTGGGCAACCAGGGATCTATCACCCTCGTATTGAAGAACTTTTTCCTAACATCTAACCTAAATCTACCCTTTTCTAGCTCAAACCCATTACCCCTCGTCCTGTCACTACAAATCCTTGTGAACAGTCCCTCCCCTGCTTTCTTATAGGCCCCTTTCAGGTACTGGAAGGTCGCTGTAAGGTCCCCTTGGAGCCTCCTCCTCTCCAGGCTGAACAACCCCAACTCCCTCAGCCTGTCCTAACAGGAGAGCTGCTCCAGCCCTTTAATAATTTTTGTGGCTCTCCTCTGGACACACTCCAACAGCTCCACATCCTTCTTGTTTTGGGGGCTCCAGAGCTGGACGCAGGACTCCAAGTGAGGTCTCACCAGGGCAGAGCAGAGCGGCAGGATCACCTCTCTCCTTCTGCTGGCCACGCTGCTTTTGATCCAGCCCAGGATTCGATTGGCCTTCTGGGCTGCCACTGTGCATTGGTGGGCCATTTCCAGCTTCTTATTTACTAGTATGGATTTATGTGTTTGCCCTGGACTTGAGTAGTACTAAATCTGTGACGTGTGGTTTTGCATGTGTTTTTTTCTTTTTTTTTTTTAATAAAAATTAAATAAATTCCACAGCAGAGCAAGTTTCCTTCTCAGCTGTATAATAATTCCTGTTGTTTTTTTCCAGTTTTTACCTAGCTATCTTTCAGTAGCTGTTTTTCTCCTTCAAGCAATTTTTCTCACAACTTGAATTCCACTACGCTGTTACTATGCATTTGAAAGCTGCACGAGAGAAAGAAGTTAGCAATGATGCTACACATTGCTTTCATTGCTCCACATTGTATGCTCTGTAGTTAAAATGTTAAGTCTTCCTGGATTAATGTGCATTTTATTTAAGCTGTAACCTTTGCCTGAATGTGGCTTTAATTTACAAAATAATCACTCCCTGTAGTAAGGTTTACAAATAGAAGCAGGATTATAAACAGATTGCAAGGTGAACAGATACATTGGGGAACTATTGTTGTAATCAAGTTTGAAAGTCCTTGACCAGTTCCCTTCCTTAACATAATTCTCCCTGTAGTTTCTTATAATGATTTTCTTTATAGAGCAGGGAATTAATTTCTTTCTTTGTTTTCCAATGGAAGATTATAAAAAGATGGAATAAGGTGCTCAAAGCACAGAAGTAAAAAAACTTCTCTTAGAATGTATCTGTTAGTAGAAAAAAAAAAGCTTTAGAATACCACTAAACAATGCAGCAATGTAGGGTATAACATTGTCTTTTAAATCAATGAAAACTTTGATACAGAATATTTCACTGACCTAATAGTAACAAAGTGTCATTTCTGCTATTGCTATTGTTACTATTACTGGTTTTTTTTAAAACTCATTTTTAATAATATTTAATTTCAAAGTATGTGCAAACTTTTTCGTGATAAGGATTGGGTTACATTCTGTTCAAGGTGATTCTACATTTCAATGCGTCAATCTGTGTGCATCAAACCCCATGTTTACTTTGGTATAACTAAAAAAGAGATCTGATAGGATGTAGTCTTTAAAACTGGTCTAAACTGGCATAACAGGTTGTTGACAACGACAGTTAAGATTAAAAAAAAAATCTTCAATTTGCTTTGAGTTGAAAAATATCTTTTAGTTGCCATATGCTTTAAGATAAAGAGCTGTAGGTCTTATTTCAGTAATGTAATGATTCAGAGCTGAGATTAGATTAGGGAAGCTGCCTGTGTTTTGGGAGGGGCATAGCCTAGTAAATTTGTGTGCCAGAGGCAAGGGCTAGCAAGTTCTCTCATTTACACATTTATTCTTTTGTCAAAAAAGCAAAAACAAAACCAAAACCAAAACAGACCACCAAAAAAACAAACCACCATCACCAAAAAACCCTGTTCATATTACCAAGATTAATGTGTTCTTCAGACCTTAGCTGAGTTGCACCTGATGATAACATAGATGTAATTTGAGAAGATTAAATTTGACCATAATGTCTGGGTGTGTGGCTACTGCTAAACTCTAGTTTCCATGGTGTTATTTCCCTGTAGTCACTTAACCATATTTCGATGAGAAAATGCCATGCCAGTGGACGTGAAACACAGGAACTCATAAAATAATTCAGACTAATTTAACACTAAGGGGTTTTTTTCCTAGGTAAGACTGTACTTAGATACGACATAATACTGTTTTATTCCATGTATTTATTCCTTTATGCTGCTCCTTTCCTCCTATTATCTAAATCAAATGCCTTGACAAATACTTCAACATGATGCATCAACTTTCTCAAGTTATATTAAGCATAGCTTTTCTCTCCTTGGGATATCCACCCTCCCTTTAGCTAGGTTTTTCCAAGTTACCTGTTCTTTCTTCCTCCTAGTTTAACAGCTGTATATTGCCAGTGGACCAAAATACAGACTGTGCCGTACATTACCCTGCCTAGTAACTCCCTTGAAATTCTGCTCTTCAGTAAAGTTGCTGAAGTGATAAAGTGCTGGTAAGATAGAGTGTTGTGGGTAAATGCTGCTTGCTTCTTAGCATTAGGATTCACTCATTACTTATCATAAGTTAATGGTATCATTTTAAATCTGACTCCCTGTATAATAAAAACTGATACAATATTTGTATATTGAAACAAATATGTAAAACTAAAATTTGACATGGTAATATGACATCTTCCTTTAAAAAATTGTTGTCTGAGTATTTTGAAATGATGGTAAGCTCTGCTGTGTTTATGCTTTGAAATTTGGAAACTGAAATTCCTGCGTTTTTCAACTGAGAGAAGCCTTGGAGCAAGCACTCTCCAGCTTTGCATGCTGCTGATTTGCTGCTGAGCTTTAGGTCTTTCCCTGATGCTTACGCATTTCGTAGTGACCACAGAATTCTCCACTTTAATTATTGTAGCAGAGTTTCTTCTGGACAAAAAGCCAGTTTAGTGTTCAAAAGGAGTAAATCAATTTCTACCATGATGTATCTAAAGAATGTAAACATGTTCAATCTGTAGCAAGAAAATATAGTGTGATGTGAAGAAAAGGAAATAACAAAGTTCAATAAACTTGCCTATAGTAGTACTATTTCATGTTGAATCAAAATAAATTTATGTAGTATGTATATGCGAGTCAAATAAGCAGAACTTTTTTTTTTTTTTCTTGCAAGTTTTCTTGATGTCATGGCAGATTCAGAGATAAATATGAGAAGAAAAAGTTCAGGTTTTTTTTTTTATTTCTTCTATGTTTTCTTCCTAAATAAGGCAATGAGAGCTAATACATTGTGATGGTGTTATGCTTCTCGTTGTGCTGACCAAGTGAAAAGGCAACACAGATGCTTGAACGGTTTTTCTGACTAAATGTTCAACAAAAAAGTTAACTTTTAACAGAGAGAGTGAAATAGGGTCCAGGATTAAAATGTGAATTCTATTTGAAATGGGTGTTTTAGTGAACATCTTGTGGCCTTATGGAACAGCATTGACTGAGAACTCTGGAGATAAGAGGGATGATGTTTGAGAGAATGATTTAGTCCAGCTATGGGTGTTAGCAATGTCATCCTCCTTGTGTCACATTTTTCAAGGTGAAAGATTTGTATATAAAAAAAATACCAAGAGAAGATTGTGCTTCTGCAGGCTTGTTATTTGTCTTACTAAATTTGCCATAATCAAGTTTGACAGGCTTCTTTTTATTTTTTCCAGCAGACAATATTATTGTTGAAGATTAGTCAGATGCCTTCCGTCCATTCCCTGCCTCACATGCTATGTCATGCAAGCTTTGAAACACTTAGCACGTAATTTAAACGAATGACTAATTTTGCAAGCATAATGGAAGGCACGCATACTATCCTTCAATTGCACAAACCCATTATGGAGCTTTGTTACATCAGCTTCTATCTTCCAGAGGGGAAAGTCAGAGGATTTACTTACAAGGGCTGCATAACTTTGGATAGAAACAGTAAACGTTCCTGTAGCTGTTATCAAGTAAGGGAGATGTTAGAGATGGAGCTGAGAGAAAAGCCATATGAAAACTTTGGAGATATTATTTTCAAACGAACTACCACGAAAGACATTCTCACTGAGCTGTACAAGCTAACTGCTGAAAAGGAAAAACTCTTATCCAGTCTTTTGAGATCACGTCGTATTCTGGGCCTTAACACAAGACATCAGGAGGGAAAGCAACAGGACGTTTCTGGCATCCTGAAACGTAAAGGTGTTGATTCCTCCAGTTTTACACATCAGCAGAGGTTCTGTCTGGATTCAACAAATAAAGATGGTTTGAATCACAAGAAAATGAGAAGATATAGAAGGAAAGAGAGCTCTGAGGAGTTCAGACACCTGAAAAGGGGAGAAAAGATACATGAACAACATCTTTCTTTACTTGAAATAAAGAAGACAGTCCCCACAAGATTTCCTACCAGGAATTTTTCCAGTTCTTTTTCTACCTCCAGTTGGCTAACAGTAAAAGGTAACGATGACTTACCAATAGACAATATAAGACCAGAAAAGTGGGTAGGAGAGGGCTATTTTCTTCAGAGCAGCACAGCTGCGAAACTGGATGCTGACTTAAGTTCTAGCTCAAGAGACAACAATGACATGGTTGCAGTTGAACTAATGGGTAATGGGGAACACATGCCTGAAGTTACAGAGGTACATCAGAGCATTGCTTCGGTAAAGTCATCTCAGGATACTCTATCTAACAAACTTGAGACCTTAAGTAATTCTCCAGCTTCTGAAAGCTTGGAAAGTAACAGGTATACTGAGCCAGTGTGGAAGGAGAAACAAGGAATCACAGTTGTTCCTGAAGTACAGGATTCAGAAGCTTGTATCAAAGAAGTTGCCAAACCCCCTGCAGAGTCTCTACCTGATTTTCACAGGGATAAAGAAAACATTTCTCCTGTTCTCACCACAGCACATAATGACTTGGTATCAAGAACTGATGTATACTCTGTAGATGAAGCTGCTGGAGACTCAAAAAACATTGTGCTGCAGGAAAAGGAGCAAGCCGGCTCTGGTTTGCAGTACAAAGCAGAGAGAGTGCACATTACCGATGAGTCATGCAACCTTGTGGGAGCAGTCAATAAAGCTCTTCTGAAAGTTATACGGAGCGACAGTTTAGATGAAGCTGCAGAATGGAAGAGACTGCAACAAATTACAAGAGTAGACCGAAACCTGCCAGGCTCAATGTATGAGAAAAGAACCACGGTATCCCGGGGAAGCAGCAAGCATTTGTTTTTGAACCTGCCTCTAAATGAAAGTCCTGATACTTCTCAAACGAGTAATAATCTTAAACTGGAAGAGAAAAGGCTGCATTCACCCTCATTAGTAGCAGTGAGTAATGTTTTCAGTAATTCATATCCTCTATCTAATACACACAAGCAAATGTCACCTATTCCTTCTCCATTATCTTCAAGACTGCCTAGCCCACAGCTCCACCATCGGATTCTACCACTACCAGCACAGAACACCGGGGACGAGTCTATGTTCACTGACTACAGCAGTGGGAAGCACAGTGCTATAAACTTTTCTTTCAGTGATTTGGAGCCACAGTTTTACCTGAAGCTTTCTGAACCTGGAGAATTGGGATTTACCACCAGACAACCCGGCCGACATCAGAATACAACTGCAGGGCGTTTTGAGAAGCACGCTGTACATGAAAAATCAACTAATCAGGAGCAGCAGAATTTCTGTCCAGGTCAGTCCCGTTTCATACATTTTTGAACTAAGAGTCAATCAACTATGAAAGTGTTGGAGTAGGGTTTCAGTACTAACATTTAATAATAAATAGTATGTTTGCAATTAAAGTATTTTTCAGCACTTAATGACTGGGTGAAAAGTTGTTAATTTTTTTAAACGATAGTTATAGCTGTATAAGATTTCTTTTCAGATGCATTTTTTAAAGTCAGCTTATATTCAGTCCTGTTGTTACTGAACAACTTCTTAACCAAAGTTAATTACATATTTGTCTATAAAAAAAAAAAGTTTACATGCTTATTTTCCTGTGCCGTGTTGTAGTCTGTCCAAATGTTATGATAATATTTATTATCCAAATGTTCTTTTTCGTTTGTTTGGTTTAACTGATAGAACATTGTCTGGGCAAACTAATTTACAGTGCCTTAAATATAGGAACGGTGCTTTGACCACTTAGTTACAAGGGGCTGATGTAAATTCTGTAGCAACAAAAAGCTTGTTTTTAAAAGGATTGTGGGTAGGAGTCATGTTACAATGAATTTGAGGATAGTCTATGGGTTTGTTTATAAATATATACTGCGAATATAAAAATACATAACAATATGGCATGCTGAATAGCTGTCTTTGTTAGCTAGAACACCTACAGCTATACCCTTCATTTTTCTCTAAGAAATGGGAAGGCTGGAAGACCTGATTCTGCAGTGGTCTAGGTGTGGCTTACACTGGTCCCTGTGTGTTACAGGGAGAGCAGACAGTGCACAGTGACATGATTTTACTATAAAAGGAACAGAGATGCTAATCTGAAGCCTTTTCATGGAAAACAGGATAAATTTCTACAGTCTCAAATTAAAAGGAAAACTAGGAAAAAATCATGAAAAAAGCCCATTGATATCTTTATTTGTTAGTATTTACCTAGATTTGAACCTTTTGTGTGATACATCTTCTCACTCCCACCCTGCAGCACTTTAAAGAGCATTTGGGTCTCTCTCTATGCTTGTGGCTGATTCAGCTCATTAAAATGGCATAAAAATATTCTCTCTTCTCTCTTTTCTTTTTTTTGGGGGTGTGTGTGTGTGTTTGAGGTCAGGGTGTGGCAGAGGATTGTTTGCCATTTTAATTGTTTCACAGTAAGTGACTGTCAGTGTTGGTGCAAAATGAGTTACAAGATTCTGCACTCTGAACCAGGGAGGAAGACATAGGCATAAGGAAAAGGGATTCCAGAAGGGTAGGTGTTCAGGGATGTGAAACCATTACTTTAGCCAAAGGGTGGGGTGTTGAATGCTGCCTATAACGCTTGTATTTATGCCTGCTGCTTCCAGATGTTGCTTCAGTTCCACTGAAGAATTTAGTGATGTTTGATCAGTTGACAAAGCTGATGCAAACAATGATTGGTAGCGAAAGAGACAGGTGCTATGCTCTTCTTTCATTCCTGTCTCGATTCCTCTTGAACTATGTTGTTCTGCCTCGCTCACTGCTTCTTGTATGTATTGTAACTTATATTGAGTTGTTTTAGCTCACAAAACAGCAGAAAATTTCACCACTTTGTAAAACTAAAGAAGCACAGCGAATATTTTTCTCCCCACTTTGCATAAGTAGCTTTTAATTAGTTTATCATTTAAGATTGGACGCAGAACTGTACCTACTGTGCTGCACCCTGGTACTGGTTTTGCTTGGGATAGTCTCTGTTGTCTCTGTTTCTCACTTTGCCCCCCCAGTGAATAGACCTGGAGCTGCACAATGGTCTGAGAAGGGACACAACCAGGCATGTGACCTGAACTATATATCTATATATCATAGAAGAGATATTCTATGCCATATAATATCATGCAGAGCAATAAAAGCAGAAAGAGGGAGCTTTAGGGGGTTTACTTATCTTTTGCTAGGGAACTGGCAGGGCATGGGACCACCTGTGGGAGGCAGTGAGTGATTGCTTTTGCATCATCTGCCTTGTTTTCTTTTTTTTCTTCTCTTTTCATCCACTTAACCTTAACTTATAAAACAATTTTTGATAGTTTTATCTTGACCCTCAAGTTTTCTCATTTTTCTTTTTCTCTTTCCCCTAGCCCATTTAGGGTGGGGAGGAAGTGAGTGAATGACTGTGCGGTGCTTAGCTGCCTGCTGGGGTTAACCCACAACAGCTCTGTAAGAAACAAACCAAAACACATACACACAAAAAGCACCTGTTAGCTGAAAATCCTGGATATTAAGCAGAAACACTGTTGTAGAGTGAGCAGAGTGCAGATAAAACAAAACCTTAGTTCTTGCTTACAGTTATCTTTACAGACAGAAAATATCACTACAACATTCTGAAAGCTGTAATACTATTCCAGGTTTGGTTTTGTTTTCATTTTTATGTAAGGTTGTGTGCCAGTATTATTACTGATGTGTCAGAAAATCTGTAACTTTGCTTCCTGCTTTGCCAGCATATATAATACTGTTTGGTTTTTCTCTGGATCTGGGATAATATGATTCTCCATTTTGTTCTGAACCAGTGGTGGAATCAGTGACAGAGCACAGGTCCCACTCTTCTGTAAACCGATATAAATAATAACTGGCTATAGTGCAGTGAGCTAAATGGTGTATTTCCAAATTCAGGCAACATAACTGATGTTATTTTATAGCTATAAACTGACAGTCCTGGTCTGATCTTTACCAGATTCCTCCGCTGTGTGAAGATCAAAATTCAAGACTATTGCTCAGATTTTTCTTTTATAGGGTGTTATTGTGAACTGATTATTTTCAAACCTCACCTGTTATTAAATTAAGTATCTACAGCGAATCTAAGAATTATGGAGAATTTGGGTTGAGTGTCAGTCAAGTTGGTTGAAGGATTTATCTAATTACTTAATCTTGTCAAAACTGCTGGTCTTAGGGCTTTTCAATATTACATTACTGTCACTGTTCATACTGCAAAACATTTGGAGCCTGTTATTACTTCTGTAAATTTTTATTTGGAAAATTTAATAAATGTGTTAAAATATTTTAATTTTTTAGTTTAAATAATGAGTTGGATGCAACATACAGCTCTACACATAATCTTCATTCTCTTTTCTGACTGCTTTAAATCATGATTTGTCACTCTCTCTCTGGATAGTTGGAGAATATTCCTGCAGTCAAAACTGAAAGACTTAGCTGAGGCAGAGTGCCTCTATTTCTGCAGTTCAGTTTCTTTACAAGAAATATTTATGGCACATATCTCTATCAGTAATTCACCTGTAAGTAGAGTTTCTGGATCTTCCTGATGAAGTGCAACTTCTGGCTGTGGGAATGGGCCACAGTTTTTATTTTAGCAAGTTAATAGTTAACTGGGAACAATTTATAGTTCAACGATAATTATTTAACAGTTCTCTCTGTAAGTGGGACTTGGACTTAACATTCCTATATTTGCAGGTAATAGTTCCGTTTGAATTATTAAAATTCTAAGTAAAAGCTTTAGAATAAATTAAGGCTTTTAAGAAATAAACTGTTTGGCTTCGAGCAGCAAAACCAAAAGTACAAACACTAAAATTTCTCATAAAAAGATTTATTAAATACTCAGAAACATTTCCTGTGTTTCTGTAGGAAGTTTTTCCTACTCTAACATCAAACACATTACGCTTTTCTTGTCCTAGAGAAGCCAAGCTTGCTTTTAATATAATCCTCAATATATCAGAATATCTGTCTTCAGGAAAGATACTTCTGAGACCCTTTAGTTCCTCGCTGTGCTTCTCTCTGAATTTGTTCAGTGGTAGAAAAAACCTAGGGAGAAAATTTTCAGAACTGTTTTAATTGGTATGGCATGACACTGACACACTGTTAGACTAAGTATTATCCAAAAGAGGAGGAAGATTAGTGATATTTTTAGCAGTTATTGAACTGAATTTGCTTCAGAGCAGGAAACTTAAAAATAAAAATCTCTGGTTATGACGTAGCCTCTATGGCTTAGGGCAAGTCAGCCAAGACATCCCATTATTCCAGGGCAGTGACCGGTGACTCTGCTTTGAGTCACAATGAGACGGGTGGGTCATTTATGAGACCTTTTTTTTAATATATTAGTGTTGTTGTGGAAAAAGCATAAAAAACTGTCAAGTTGGAATGGTGAAAGCAAGAAAGAGAATGAATGCTGTTACCCTACCCCCCAGCCAATGAAGATTGCTTCTTTTTGATATCTAGGAGTTGTTAAAGAACATATCCAATAAACAAAAATCTAAAGTTGGTAGGACTGTAGAGAAACAAACTAAACTGGAATAGAACTGAATGATTTCCTTAACCATTCAGTTAAGGCTTGTGCCAGGTGAAATAGCTGAGCCTATGGCACTGAAAGGGACAGGTTCGCTCTCTCTTTGTTATCTTCCTTTTTCCCAGCACAGGCCTCCCTCTCACTATCTCTCCCCTTCTCTGGGATAATGTTGGTGTTCTTACTTTTTGGAAATTTGAGTCAGCTCTCTAAGCAAGTTGAGAACTGAGACAGTAAGGAGGGAGGTGAGTAGCTTTTGCTGGTTTAGTGAGCTGGATGGTTCAGGAGTCACCTGCTGAAAACCAAAGCTAGGGTGAGGGAAGATGTGAAAGCATACTGCCAGGAGCCAGAGTAGACAAGTGAGCAAAATGCCACCCCTGTTGGCAACAGGGAATAGATAACCTCCAAAACTTTTTTTTCATCCCAAAACTGGGAGCCATGAGGCTGGCTGGGACTGACCAAAGCAGAGGTTGCTGGGAATAGGAGACAAGAGGTGTAAGGAAGTCAAATGAGGATGCAGCAAGACTGTGATCTTTTAAGTGGGTGGTATTAATAGTGAATCAGGAGGAATAAGAGATGGTAGACAATCAAGAAAGGGCAACTTCAGTGGACTGGGCAGGGAGTGTAGTCTTGGCTGGGCTGGAGAATAGGAATGGAGTATTACAAAATAGGTGGAACATGACAGATTAGAGATGAGAGAGTTATTTTTTTTTCTGTGTGGGAAAACACGCAAAAGTATCTGTAAAAATTAGAATGTACATCATGGATGTAAATAGAACAGTCTTGCTGATGATCCATAAAGTCAGTGCACCAC